GTTACGTATTTGCGAACTTTTTGCAATCAAACATGCTAAGTGCAAAATAGAATTTACTCTGTTTGACGATCACCGTGTATTATGCATTCAAAGTTTGTTACTTATTGCATTAATCGATATGCCTTTACCATGCGTGTTTCTTATATTACTTTGATGCAGTGTTCAGTTTTGCGCAAAAGGAAAGAGCATATGCCGAATTTTAAGGCGCTGTACATTAATCATAACTCAATACGATCTTTATCTATTTGGCTATGGCTGAACTACATGAACTACATTAATCATAACTGAATACGATCTTTATCTATTTTTAGTGTCACCAGTGAAATTCGCCAGTCTCTGTCTCCATTACGAGAGTGACCCAAAAACTGAACTAAAAAAACGGATTTATACACGTATAGATCGTTATTTCTACGATTTTAGATATGGTGTTTCTTGATTGCGAAAAAAGATGTTGAAATTTCAAGAAAAAACTTTTCTGTGATAAAGTTCTATCGTTTACCGCTTGCCCTAGCCTTAAACTTGCATAAAAAGACTAACCAAGTTTGCAAGTGTGAACGAACTCTTGCCAAACCTCTGCATATACTCCGTAATCGTATCGATAGCCAATAATGTCGGGCCAGTAATTCCATAGCACGATTTGTTTTGCTAACAATGTCTGAAAAGACCTCTTTACGTCAATAAGGGCGTTTTTCATGAATGGGTCGTAACGAAAATTATTTGCCCAATATATGGACACATGGCAATGAATCTCTGATATAAGACGTGAATTGACAAAGCAGAACTAAAGTTGGGTTTTGGTTTATTTGCGATATTACTTCTTGGCTAAAATTTCAAATTCACCTTAAAATTACTCTTAAGTTTAATCAAAGTTCTGACTAAATTTTACACAATTTTATGTTGTATTATGTTATATAATGTTTTTTTTTTTCGTTAATTAAATTTTGTTAGCTTCTGGAGATTATTTGTCACCCATTTGAGATAATAAGAATAATTTTAGGACTTGGAATATAATTTATTCAATATATGGATACAAAAGTAAAGTTAAGGAAAAAATATACATCTAAACATTGCCAGCTGTAAAGGGTTTTACATAATTTTAACTCTGTTATCTCTTCTAATAAACATTCAGACCTGTCCGTGACATTAATAGAATATACCCTATCAACACAACAAAAACAAATAAATAAATAAATGAAGGCCGATTTGTCGAAACATGCATCCGACTTGTAATTCAAAACAATAAAAAAACAATATCAGAGTTTTAAAAACTCTTCTTTACCTTGAAAATGTTCCTGCGCTTGCTGCAAAGCTTTGGCCAAACCAACGTTCCCCGATTTCTGTAAGCTGCTGACAAGCTTAGAGTAGCTATCATTACCTTTTGACTTCGCCGAAGTCATGAGGGTGTGAATTTGGGTGGGTACATTTTTTTCGTTCTGAAATAAAAAAAAAACACAAATAAAGATAAAATCATGATAATTCCAAAATATCCTAATCTGTGTAGCCGTCAGTGTATTTGAAAAAAAATCTCACTGGCAATCAGGCCGCAAGTAGTACTTGGTTATTTTCTAAAATACGAGAGTTTTTATGTTACCATGGGAAGCAAATGAAAAAGGGAAGAAAATGAGCCAGCGCTACAGTTGACATATACATTAAATATCTATCAATTAGATAACAAAGCAAGGCAATAAAAAAGCGAGGAATTTAAATTCTTTAAAAAATGCAGGATATTGAAAATTTAAGTTACCCCAATGGAAACTGCCGTTGCATCATCCAGAACACCCTGATTACACAAGATACGCCATATGTCCCCATCTGTCTGAATGTGCTGTTGAATTAACGGGCTTAACCGAGTCAAAATTTCCTGGTGACGTTTATCCATCCTTCCACGTTTAAATCTAGTCACAACGACCTGTGTTGGTTTTCTAGTATAGTTGGGCTGTAATCTTCCTGTTCTTCACGCCATAAGTACACGAAACGTTTCATATTATGTCGAGGTGAGGAGAAGAGGTATACATGGGTTGGTTTCTACACTAAGAGACCTATGGTTAAACACACCACCGTTATATTTCAAACTCCGTAGTCGGTAATATTGTCCAATGTTTTAGGTTTCATAGATAATACCTCTGAAGCATATATTGTCATAGCAACCGTTCGTAACCAAGGCAAGGAGATAAGGTACACAGTCTGTGGCTTACTAGACAGAAAGCGCCCGACGTTTTCTGGTGTTCTAACCGCAGTATCCCTATAATATATCCGCATTACAGAAACGTGTCACAGAAATAATTTTCTGTGTCCTTTTGTACGGTTTTCCATAGCGTTCATTTCTTTACCAGGACCCCGGTCAAACACATCAGACTGCGCAATTAAAGCCGCTATACTAGTACGTGAATATTACACTATGTGGACGTTAGTGTATATAACAATTGTTCTTCTCCATCGGTATTCGATGAGAAACTTTCGGATCATTAACAATTCCCAATTCATGCACATTTGCTTTTTTAAGAAGAAGGCAAACTAACGGTCTCCATGGGATCGAATATTGATCAGAAGGAAGAGGAAGGGGTCAATCGCTCGCTCGCGCGTGAACAAATCGAAGGCAGAGCTCATGATCTCTTCAATGGAGGTCTCATTTATGCAAATAAAAAGCTTTTATAGAAAAACAAAAGGCTGCCGATCACGCCATTTTTATTTAGAAAGTGTTTGCTTTTTTTATGAAGGGATCACAAGCATATGATTAAATATAGTTGACTTAGCATTAATGATCAGCTGCAATTGTTGTAAAACTTTTGTTCAGTTTGATAAGGGTCATTCCAAAGTACTTGCCTGGTCTCCCCAGTTTTCCTACAGATTCCAAAATAAATGGATAAGGCAGAATAATTTGTATTACACTTTTTTCCATACCATGTGAAAAAAATACGTGATAAAGCTAAGGACTGGCAAAAGAGTAACGCTGGGAAAAACAAAAGTGGAATGTATTGGAATACATTAAAGATGGGTTTATACACATATATAGATGCAATAACTACTAAATAAGTGTTCATGTATATTTTTTATCTATCGAATATTGATTAAATTGAGATCAAAGTGTCCAAGAGTCAGTTATCATGGAGTTGAGTAGCACCAGATTTTATATCGAGCTCCCTTACTCGCGTTACGTAATAGTTTTTCAAATGTATACCGACTTGACTGGTTGCATTTTTTTCTTTAAGTGAATTACCTTTACATAGCACTGCAATATGATCTCTTTAATTATCCGATTTGCTAATAAACGGTTATTTAAATGGCAGCGTGCCTTCTTAATATTATCAAACATTTCGTGAGATTTCTTCACCAGTTAAGTTTGACTTTCTTTTAAAACGAGTCAAGCGGATGTAACAGTTGTCCGATTCATCGATACCACCAATCTGTCGTCCGACTACGTTTGAGAAAGACCGTCAAAACCAATCAATGGGTTTCTGGTCGGCGGTCATTGTTCAAGCAAATCCAATCAGATTTAGAATTGTTCCACGTTTAGTGGGGTAATGAAAGGGTTACTAAGAATACGTCCCTTTGTTTTTTGGTAAATTATGCCCATTTTATTTTTTGCACTAAATGAACTCTGGTGGAAAGCGCGGTAAGGATGAAAGGCCACTACATAAATAGTTCCTATCGTTTCAATATTTCATAGCCAAATGTCAAGTATTACCTGCACCTAATGAACTGTGCTGCACAAGATAGATATATAAAATTCTCAATATAGTCTTCTGTTATTCTACTTAATATTAACCTACTCAATTAATACATTAATTCAATATTACAATTTTCTTTTTCATATATGCCTTAATTAAGTGACAAATCGAAACGCGATTTGAGAGATTCCATTTTTGGCATTTACATAGACCAATGTTCCTAAGGGTACGTAAGGCGAATTTCATCAACCAGAGAACACCTATGTAAAACAAGGAAAGTAACAATAACAGCGAAACCAATATTAATTTTGCACATTGATAAAATTTTATTGTATAACACATCTGCAAGCAACGTTAACATCGTACACCGAATAAAATTCCTCAACGTGTCTCGAGTTCGTTCGAAACTAAAAAATATATCTCACAGCAGTCAAATAACGAGATCGACGGAGCCACTGGTTATAAACATTTACCAACTCAGTGGGATAAAATAATTCAATTTCCTATTACATAAAATACCCAGTAATTAACACAATTCAGGATCAATTCCTGGGGGTATTTGCAATTTGATCAACTCACAAATTTACCAACCCAAACTATCTTGATACTAGGTATTAATGAGATTATGCTTCCTGTATTTTCATTTAATATATAGTAACTTCCTTCAGCGTCCTTCACTCCGAAATAAAAAAAATTGCTTCGTAACTGAAATACACCTCTGCAATACCAGCAGAATGTAACGATCTATATATTCTAATACCCTAAAAATAATAATTTTTCAACTACTAAAATCTGTCTGTGCATCACATAAAGGGCAAAGGCAATAGTGTTTCGATCATAAAATGTGAAATTTCACAACCGAGACCATATACGTTTCACATCTTGGTAAGTTGACTGACATTTAATCTATATGAGAGTATCTGAAATATTTTCCTACTTGATGTTCTTGTTGTAATCAAATTGCACTTCTTATTGAGTTAACATAAAAAATTATATAACTCTTATTTAAATCAACTGAGAATGTTAAATATCAGACAAAACGTGTTTGTCACCACAACAAACATTTACAAATTGCTAAGGACTACATCTGCTAAAACGTCTACACCATGTAATATAATCAAAACTGTAAATTTACAAATTCCCATGTTCAATGTTTCCGTTTGTGTACAATTGCAGACATACAATTAAACAGTGTATATTTTCTTATGTCACCTTCATGCAAAAGTGCAGGGTATGAAAGATGTACTTTTCTCATTTTGTTATTAATAGCGAAGTTGACAACATTCCAGTTTCTTTTAGCATCAAATTTTGCTGACCAATCTCCTTTTTTTTCATTTAGCCAAACCGGTTTAGGACTGGCGTATAAGTAGAACCACACGACTTCTTGGTGTGACTCACTGCTTGTATTACTTCCGTTTCCTTTACATTCCAAGTTTGACTCTTTCCCAGTCACCATGCCTTGTTTTAGATATAGCCAATGAACATCCTGAACGATGTAAATACAGGTGTCAAGTACCTTAATACAACTGTTCTTTGGAGTTTCCTTTTATTCAAAGATGTCGATTTTTTTTTTTACTTTGACCCGTTCTTGATTCATCCACTTTGCAATGCTTCTCAAACTCTGTACACCTTAAGCTTATATTCTGAAGGTGCCACTCTTACACTTTTGCAACATAAAATTTACTAAAAATAACGTAAACTTACTTCAAATTTAACCCATTTCATGTCACATAAGATCTTGATGGTGGCTCCATAGTTCATACAAAAAGATACGATTTTGATGATGTACTTGGTACAACATTTGCATATGTCAAAGCAAAGTGAGAGTTCATGAATCTCTTTAGAAGTTTCTAGTAAAATATTGTCTTATCTCTGAACTCTCTGCGTTCAACAATAATGATCATGATTCAAAAGAATATAAACAAATGCTGTAATGAAATGGGTGATGCTCAAATATACAGTATGGGTGTCCTCCATGCTTCTGGAGACTTCTGGAGGTCAATCTGGACGAAGTATGGGGACTTTTGGAATAAATTCTATTAGAATGACCTAGAAAACAGACATCCCCAATTAGGGTATATGTATTTAATAAATTTGCAATGCAGAAAAGGTAAACAAGATGCATGACTTATATTATGTATATCAAGTTATAACAAAAAATTGAAGTAAACAGTGAAATCATAAATGGACAATACGTTAACCATTATTTTTATCAAAAAAAAAAAAAAAAAAAAATTAACAAATTTTAAAACTGCACTCACATATTCCATCATACTATTGGCATCAATATGTCTTTTTGATAACTTCCAATGTAACCCCAACTGAAAACAAAAATTATTAATGATATAATAGAAATATTTTTTTTTAAACAAACAATTTGAAAATGTACAGCCCATTTCTCAAAACAAAAATTATCTGCAGTTCCTTTTGCTTAGTATCTGTATTTGCTCCGTCCATCACAATGAAACACTATAGATAGACTAAACTGATCAACAGATTATTTATCATGGGGAATCTTAAGAGTGCCGTTTAACGTGCCAATTACTGATGTTACTAGCATCCTTTTTCTTCCCTACAAAAACAGAAAATCAATAGATTCTCTGATGGAAAAGTGGGAGAGCATGATCATATTGGTAGGTTTAATGTGATATAATATCATATTACCAGTTATACTGAATTATATAAGAAAAAAAATTTATCATAGTCATAATCTGTGTGTGTGTTCTAACAACTGCTAAATATTCACAGTGTCACACTGGGGTGGAGCTCTAAGACCAAAAAGCCCAAAAGCAGAGTGAAGGGGAATAAATCTCACCACCAGCACCAACCTTTTTGACTTCCCTAGATAAGCTAGTCAAGGAAGTTACTGTCACTTCAAAAGTTAAGACCAAATGACCAGATAACAAGATGACCATATCAATTCTGAATCAAAACCGCTAACACAGGAGTTCTCATCCCCCACAAAGAGGGAGATCTCGCTGAAACCCAGGTATCCAATTCCCACAAGAAATAAAGTTTGGCTGTAGGGGATAGTTTCAGAATCTTACTTCAACACTCCTCTGATCACAGCTAAGAGCTTACCTTGTGATATAGATGGCTGTTCTCCCAATCCAATACTTTTTCAATGGAGTGCTTTGTCTGAAAAAAGAGGAATCAATACAATACACTTTACACTGTAAGTCAATACTGTGTGTGTGTGTGTGTGTGTGTGTGTGTGTGCGTGTAATGCACACATTGAATCTTTCAAGAAGCAGATGTTGCATTTATGCGATTTAACAAGAAGTCATATATATCAGAGAAATTATAATAGCCAAGTAAATTACTTCTGTGGTGATTATGCACAAAACTACACAAATATCAACTGAAGCTAAGACTAAACCTTAAAACCTTATTTAAAATGGCAAGAACACAAGTTCTGCTCTAAAAGCATATTTAAATTACATTGATATTTGCATTTTCGGAAATAAACAGGTGATGAATTTATCCCCATCAATACGTTGTTCAAATTGACATGGCATTCTGTTACTTTTGGCAGTATGTAAAAGATCAGCACTTTGTTTTTAAATTCAGTACCTCAATCTGACATGCTGCTAGCCTTGCATATGTATTTTTTACTCTTTCCCATTGCTACAATATTGTTTTAACTTATGGCTATCAGAACTCCAGAAATTTTACTCACAATTCACTGGCTTTATGTTAACTACATGTGAACAAGCTTCTTATCATTTCAAATAAAAAAATATTTCTAAAATGCATTTTCCAAAATGCTCAAACTATAAACAAATGAAATCTCTACTGCATTTTACTGCACTGTACCTTTCTAAATATTATTCATAGCATATTCTTAGCATATAACTACACAGATATGCACCTTAGGTTGTTAAAGTAGGATATTTACCAAACTTAATTATATATCATTGAGGTAGTCTTCCATACAACAGCAAGAAATGATGGTAGAATGTGCATATTCAAATGACAGATTAGTACCTGGACGGTAATTTATCACATATTTTATCATCAAACATTTTCCAAACATTTTATTACTTTAAATTTTATCATCTTAGTCTCTTATTTACTAAATTACTGAAAATTATTACAAACTGGACATACAGGATTATTTACAGTACATATCTAGAATTAAATCTGGCTATTATTTTCTGATATAAAAAGTTTTTTTTTTTTAATTTAGGGAGCCTCATCATGAACAATATACTGTCATTTATGCCCCATTGCCTGCAACCAGAATATATATAAATAATATATGCAATTTCAGAAACTGAGAACATGTTATCCTGATAAGTATAAGGGACTCCCACATTAAACTAGAGAAATGTCAGAGCAGAAAAAAGAAAGTCATTACTTAAAGGGACAACAGATATTAAAGAATGGGATTCAGATAGAACTGTAATCCCTTGTTTCCCTCTTAGTAAACTCTCTATCCTGAAAATTTCATCAAGACTTGAGAAGAGCTTTTAAGTTTATCTTGTCTATTCACAAACAGACAAAACGATGCCAATGGAAACATACACCCAATTTCCATAGATTTTTAGATCGATCTATCCCTGTGGGGAGTCTCACTAGATTACTGTCAGCTTGGCTGGCTTAAGCGTCTGTCCCGCCTACTAAAAGCTGTAAGGGGGTAATTAACTATGGTGCCCGCTCGGCTGACTGCAATTTAGCGTGAACCCCCAGGGAGTTAGGTCGATCTAAAACTTAATCTTTAGATCGATCTAAATCTCTGGGAAAGCACCCATAGTCTCTTTTTCTGACATAGGTAATGAGTGCAGCAAATGACCATGTGAAACATCACAGCTTGGAAATGAAAACAATATATTTAAATACTAAAGCTATACACCTAGAGCTATACACCTGGGTAAAAATTGCACCATAGCACATTTAATTTAAGGGGTAACTCTTCAATATATGTAAAGTAAGTCACTAATGATCTATATACTATGTGTCTTTTTTAAGTGCCTTAAGAGACAATGTAAAAGACAGCTAGATAGACCCATAAAACTATTTTTCTTTCTTGGCTATCATTATTTTATTGAGCATTTATGAGAGTTCAAACCGATTCACTTTTCTTTATATGGACTGTAACCCAAATATTAAGACAGCTCTTTTTTCTCTAACAGAAAAAACCCTCAATTACAGAGATTTATTAAAAACAATTGTATGGGATATCTACATATATCTTCAATGACTGCTTTTTAAAGGAGATTCAGGCTTTTTATGAGAAAAAGCCATTGCAGTGAGATTCAATCATATCACAATTCCCAGAAGAGCACACAATTTATTCCTGTTATTTCATTAAGCTTTCCTGCTTATGTAAATCTAATGAAAATCTGAAACTCTTGAAATCATACTATTGTGTCTTGATTTCTGAGAAAAAAAATGATCACATCAAAACTGTTGCTTGCGAAAAGACCATGAAATATCCATCCATGTGTTTTGCTCAGCCAATATCCTTTTGTTGATGATAATAATCTTTATCAGAATGGAAGCTGTGCTTAATGAATAGTTAAGAAGTCCATAATTAAGACATGATGGCACTGAAGTGAATAAGTAAGTATGTGCATTCAAGTAAGTGTGCATGTTAAACTTCATCTTTCTGTGACTAAAAGTGCGACAACAGACATCTTTATTCCTAAAATATTTAAATGAATTAACATTTAGAAAAAAAAGTAATTTAAGCAGTTTTTGTAAGAAGTCAGTTTTCCACTCATAATTACACAAAAAATAAGCACTGGTTACTTCATCCCTAGACAGAGAATGATATTGATTTGAGATTAGTTACTAAGAACTCTATTTCATTTTCGTAGAACTATACCTTGATGATATTATTTAGAGGATTTTTTTTAAAATGATCTATACTATAGATCTTCATTACCCAAGCAGAAAAAAATCTTTAAAAGTTACACACACAAACCCCAAATTGATGATATAAATTACATATATTTGATTACTCAAGTCTACCTACTAGTACCATTCTATCTTAGAGTACTATGGGCCAGTTATCAAAAGTCTGATGCCTAGGTAGGGTCAATGCCCTGCTCCCCCCCCCCCCCCCAAGGCATATAACAGAATACAGTGAGCAACCTATTGTATTACTTACCCTTTTACTTAGACATATAACAGAATACAGTGAGCAACCTATTGTATTACTTACCCTTTTACTAAGACATATAACAGAATACAGTGAGCAACCTATTGTACTACCTACCCTTTTACTTAGACATATAACAGAATACAGTGAGCAACCTATTGTATTACCTACCCTTTTACTTAGACATATAACTGGCCAAAGTGAGCAACCTAATGTGCAACAACAGCACAGGCATCCACAAAATAGAAGTTTGACATTCATAGGCAGAGATTTCTTCAGAACATTGTTGATTCTCTCAGTTGTGGCTTGAAACTCTTCAGGAGCAACCTGGATTAATCAGAAAAACATGATCAATATAGAGTCACTTCACAATGGTGTAAATAAAAAATCTATGGATCTAAAGGCAATGGATTCTGCGTAACAGTTTTAAGAGTCTCACAAAAAAATTTTTTTGCTTCATTTTTTCTTGCAGTTATATATCTCAGGCATAAAAATAGCACATTTTCTCCTTTCCATTCAAAAGAAAGAAACTGTGATGACAATGCTGGTAATGATGAATTGTATGTTGAAGTTTGTGGTGCATTTCCATAGGAATATTTACAAAGGTGGACTTGACAATTAGCTTACCTTTGCTGCCAGACCCTGAGGGAATTCTGTGCTAAATTTGTTGCTAAGACCAAACCTGGCAAAAGAGAATGAAGGTGAGAGAATCAATACTGGTCACATACATTTTGCATGAAATTCTGTGAACTGCACAACACAGGTAAATTGTTCCACACATACCAGAAGTAGTAATTTAGTAAGAAATAGGAACATACTAGAACTGAACTCATCTTATCTGTCATGCATTTTAAACAAGAAATACCATTGTTTGAGCAAGTTTCAATAGAAAATCAAATTAAATAACTAGTAATTGTCTAAATAACAGACAAATATAAAATGACCATTTCAAAAAACAAGCTATACTTTTATCCATGTTCGATGAGAAGAAGTGAGAATGAGTAAGTAATTTCTGGCACAAACTATTAAGCAAACTTTAAATAATTTTTATCACAAAGTATTACCAGCAGAATGGGCTATGGGCTATTTGAATAAAAATATGAAGAGTAAAGTAATGTTATTAAATCAGTTACTCGTATATTTTCAAAAACCTGTGGTTAGGTAATATGAAGGGTGAAAACCTGATGATCTGAAGCTGCCAGTTCAATCTGACCTTTCTAACCAGATCCAATATATTTTTCTTGTTAGTCAAATGTCTTTGAAAGATTACCATGCGTGATAAAAATCAGAGACATCTCAATATTGCACTTCCATCTACAAGACACATAATTAGTGAGATTGAGGCAAGTCTTTTTACACAGGTGCTACTTCGTAGAAATGCAGGGAAATTCCTCCTAACATGCAATATAGCATGATTATATCTGTCATGCTAGCACTTGACATAAGGTATGTGGTTTTCCCCACACTAAAAGATAACATTCAATATTGCAGCTTTCGAATCTTTTCCTTCTCAGAAAAAATTACCAATAATTTTAAACACTAGCTTCTCAATAAAAAAAACAAACATTTACTATCAATATCTTCTTATTTTATTAGTTCATCTCAATTAGAAAGAATTACAAGTTTTGCTGACTGATTTTTTATATTATATTTGATTATAATATTACATGCAAAAATTAATATAGGGGATATGTCTGATAATTTGAAGTGACTTTCTTTTCAGAAATATAATCTAGTTTACATAAAAAATCAACTGTTTAGATCTTAGTTGATATTTTAATACCTGCCTTTGGTTTTTGGAGGTGCAAGTATTTCTGGGAAAAGCATTGGACATAAGTTTGGTAAGTGAAACAATTTTAACAGACCTAAGAAAAAATTTACATTTTACTGTTGTTTTTTGTACTGTGGATTTGTTATCCCCCCCACCCCCACCCCCCTCCCAAAAGAAAAAATAGCCTCTTCCTACATTTATCATGATTTATATTGCTTTAAATTTACTGTAGACTCTACGTAAAACTGCAAAAACTCTATTTGGGGAGTTCTCTTCTTTTGTTCACAAAATGTCTGTTAAATCAATTTTGGGTTACACCTTCCAAAACCAGTAAATAACACTGTCATTAAATGACATGCTGGGAAATGAAGGTGATTTAACTCAAAGTAATAAACGATATTTACCGAGCCACGGGTATCTACCGCGTTAAAAATTTAGTAGATCTACTCATGTGATATACAGCTTATATATTTATATTAAATGCTAAAGGATGGCGCTGAGTATACATTTATATCCCAAGAACGCTGCAACAATAACAACAGGAGTTCGGTTGTTCTCAACAACTCCGAAAGCATGCTGTCATAGCTTACAAGAAAAGCTTCAATTCAACATCAAAACTCTATCTTTCTTTCACCTTGAATGACTTACACTGTAATGTTACCGCCCCCTCGAATAATCACGGGGTCTGGGACAGGACGTGATACGCTTTCTTCGAAAAATCGTTCTTCTTCGTCTTCCTCTTCATAGATCGCGTCAAAATCAGCCATCTTGTGCAGTGACCTAATTAGTTTTTCATGACGTCACTTCCTTTTCCGACACCAGAAAGATTTTTTGTGCACACATTACTGATGTAGTCTACAATCTGTAAACCAAGCCTCGTAAGCTAAAAAAATCATTTAATTAGGCCTTAATCAAGAAAGGATATATTTCCTTGATTAAACAAAAAGGATATTCTGTGGCTGTTATTAATTGACACAGCCTTGTTAGCCTTCAGGTCGATAGGCCTTATATAGGCCTATAGACTCTATATTTTTTATAGTCTGCAATTAAAATAAGAAAAAGAAAAACAACTCTAGCTCTTATACCTCGTGGGCGTAGAAAAAAGACAACTGCACGTCTTTTAAGCAGGGCCTATTGATTAACTACCTTGTAGGCCTAATCCAGTTAATATGAAAAAAAATGGGTAACATAAATTATTCGTTTTTAATTGTTTAATAATTTAAAAATGTGTTGTAAGCCGAATACCCTGAATTTAAAACAACGAAGCAGATATTTGTATTTCAGTGAATTTAAATCGAGTTTTGTAATTGGTGTTCAATTGGTGTTTAGCATGCTAAGTTTCATCTTTTGTTTTAAAAATCTGAAAAACAAGCACTAAGGTTTCTAATAACCAATTTGCTAAGGAGCGTCTTGGTTTTGAATGAATGCGTCGCACTAAACTGAAGATATGGCATAGGGCATTCAGCTACTGGTGGCACTTGTAGGGCATGTAGGTGTACGTGTCAAAGCACGACTGAAACAGTAAACAGTCTTATTTATAGGCCTGATAGTTCTTACCAAAATTTCTATCATTTTTTCATTTTTTCAAGAACATTGCAGAGTACACAGAGAAGGTTAAGAAGGCACAGATATCAGTTTAATACTCTGTTCTTAATTTCTTTTATACGTAGAACAAATATACGTACATTAAAGAAGCATCCAATAGTTATCAAAGTATAATCTTTTCACCTCTGTCGTTGTCAATGTAGAGTCTCCCCCCCCCCCCCAACACACACACACACACACACACATACACACACACACACACACACACACACAGGTAGGCCTATACACGTGTGTGTTCGTCCTATGCGTTTGTTGACTTGTAAGTTACTTACAAGTAACCCCGTCCTCTTAAACATTTATAAACAAAATATTATTTTAAGTCGGTGCTTCTTAATAAGGTATGAATAAATTGGGTCTCCGTGGATATATTAGTGATTTTGTTGTACTTCAGGGGTTTACTGAGAATGAAATTCGACCGAGATCAATCGCCGGGATTCTTTTCGACATATTTTTATGTAAAAACGTCTCATTGAAATACAAATTAATCTAATTCAATTAGTTTATAAAATATAATTGAATCTTTTTTATTTATTTATTATTATTATTTTTTTTTTTTAATATTGTGTTTCATCAACTTTTTAAAAAATTACCCATAGTGGTGTAGGCCTACAAAAAATATTGAGTATCCTTTCTTACTTCTGTGAATAGGCCTACTGCGCCATTGCTGTTTGGCGTACTCTCTTAAGCACTGTTAGGATCAACTATATATCACTGTTATATCAGTGAAAAACGCATTGACACATGACATCTGAATGTGTTTGGAGAACGAAAGCAAAACAATATATGCACAACTAGCACAATGTGTATTTCACCATGGATAAAGGCACGTCAACGCCTTTGTAAAGAGGTTTATCTTTATATCTGTAGGTAAACATTACGTCTCAAGTATTTGTTGTCATTTTATTTATCTAATTGTTTACTTTTTTGTAAATCTATCAATCTATTTTCATAGATAAAAAGCTAAACTTAAACTTAAAAGTTAAGTTTTGTTCCTTTGCTCTTCAATGATTTTTGCGATCTAGAGGCGAGAAGGACAAAAATGTATAGCTTCCTCGGGCAGTTTCGGTTTTAATATTCTCCAACTGGTTATAAATTTTTCTACGCTCTCAAACCCCGAGTCTCATAGTCCAATAAATTGATCTAAATGCTCACCTCTGCAAGTACAATCAACATAACATACCCATGAGTAGAGCTCTGGATGATCCAGGACTTTCTTTAGGGGAGGGGACAAAGACGAAAAGTATGAGAAATAAAACAGATGACTTGGACAATTTTACTAAAATATGCATGGTGCAGGATAGAAAAATTGTGTGGCTTTAACTGTGGCTTTAACTGAATCACACGTTTAAACTTGAATTTGGTGAAGGGAGACAGGAGAGTGTCTCAGAAGCTCCCAGTCCCCCTTTCCAGGTCCGTAGAGCGTCATTTCCTCAGGTACCCTTTATCTCTATTATATGCATCATTTTTAGTTGCGGGAAATACAAGATGAGGTTAACATGGGGCATGAATCCCTGGTATAACACGATCTGGCTGATTTAAGATCGACTCATCAGAGCAACGGCAATGGGCATCACAAAAACGTTTTCCAGTCGCCTTGAACAACTGATGTGATCAACTGTGTGATCAAAAGTAATATTATTTAACTGCACTTTACATTTTAAAATAAGTCTTCTACAACAACCCGGCCGTCTAAATTTTTATAACGAATCTACCCATAACACTCTTGTGCGCACGCACGCACGCACGCACACACACACACACACACACACACGCACGCACCCACACACACGCTGAAATTTACTGCCAATAAAATGTTTCTTATTTAATTCTTAAGAAAAATAATCTTGGTAAAGTTTTCTGTTTATTACTTTTCGAAAGATTTTTTGGTCAGCTTCAGAGTGTATAGTTTCTACAAAAGAGTATGGTTTAGCAGTTCTACTATTCTTTGAACAATATATTTATTTCTTATCTTTTAATTTCTTATATGCATTATTCCCCTGGCCTGCTAAGCCTGATCAGTTTATATCAAGTGTGACTGCTTATAAAATGAGATTAAAACTTCAGTCTTCCGTGCGGAAAGTGGCGAAACTGTAGATTATTATGTAAACCAGGTGGGCATTTTAGTGAGAACTGTTCAAAAAGGACCAAGGTCAGTAGAAGATGGAAAGGACTGATGGCCCATGCCATATTGCTAGAATTTCTACGGAAGCACTTTATTGTAAGCATGTCATAAATGATTTGAGATAAGATTGCTTATTTTCCGAAAAGAAGTGTATGTCGTAGTGACGGCATACTGACCACGGGAGGAATATTACTTTCCCTGAAATGTCCCAAATCAGCTTGAAGCTTTGATTCCTAATTTTTTTATTATTTTTTAGAGGGTAACCATTGACTCACCGATTATGTACGTCAGGAGTGGATCTACCAAAGTCAGCGGATTTGTGTTTAACAGCATCCGTGCCGTCAAAGGTGATTTGCTGGTGGATGTTTTATATGGGATGTTTGCTATGGGTTGTATTATTTTGCTTCCACCAAAGACTTTATTCAAATGCGAATTTGCACGAAACTGAAATTTAATTCATGGAAGCTCTGTTAGAAAAAGGAAGAAAATGACTATAAATCTATGCTACGCGTCAATCCTACATTGTTGACGGTTTAATACTGCATACATTGACATGAATTTGTTATTGCAGTAGGAGAATATATTGGTGCATGTGGGTTCAGGATTGGAAAATTGATAAAACTCGCACTACCAAAATTTCACAGCATCGAGCAACACCCCCTTCAGCAGCCTCTCCTGGAACATTTGTCATGACTTCTTTGTCATATTTGACAAATTTCACACCATTTTGTTACAACATGTTGCTGACGTTCATGGTGTTCAGCCTATGGATAATAATCACTTGCCCTCCGTGTGTCACAAGTGTTTGATGCTTCGGATATGTAATCCTTTTCTTCTTCATCGGTCTGATGCACCTAAATCACTCGAATTTGTAGAATTATTCCACTCTAAGATATTTTGGACCGTTTTCCTCAAATATTTCATTGTTCAGTATTTGTTTGTCATATTTTAGGCTAATTAATATTTTGAGTGGAATTTACAGAACAAAATACTATGTACAACATGTTATGGCTAAATAGCAGAAATCTGGTGGGGCCGTTTGGGACTCCAGCACTATTTTGTTTCTAGTAAAAAATATAAACGATGCCAGAACTGTGAACATATCTTCTGAAAGCTGATAAAATGTGACAAATTCATGAAATTTCATGGAAAGATAATGTATCGTATAAAAGTTAGGCTAACAGATATGTGCCTGTGCCCACCCGTAATAAATAGGGCTAAGGCTAACATGTTCGCCCTCATCCAATCCTGGATCTCAGCTGGGCATTAAGCAAATTATCGTTTTTAAATAACTCTTTGACTGTAATCTGTTTATCAAAAATATCCCTATTCTATCAAAATGTATCAAGTCTATGTTTTCTTTCTTTTTCTTTTTCTGGATTTTCCTAGGGTAAAAGACAAGTTTCCCATGTTTATCAATGGTAAATGAATCCATTCCCGATTAAAGTTAGCCCCTGTTCTTATCTAAAAAGTTTGGTTTTTATTGTAATATTCTCTTAAGAGATTATTACAAAGTGTAGGTCCCATGATGTGATAGCAAGCACAAATTCCGGAATAATCGTGTAACATGCTGTTTTGGTGGTAAAATAGCACTTATTATGTATCTATAAGTTGTTTACAATGCATTTATTGTGAAATATGAATATCTTTCGAACAATTGTTATACCTTTAATTCGAAGCTTTTGGCGATTCAAAAAAAAAGTGCCAGTCCTGCACGTCAGTCAGGTTTCATTACTTGGCGTCTTTTGATCAATGAGCGCCGGAGACCGGAGTTGCGTTCGTTGGAATTTTTTGATTGAAAGATGTGTAAGGGAATAAGCTTACAAATTAAACATGTTCTATGTTGTTCCTGGGCAACCTGGGAAAATTAATTTTTTTCTCTCAACATTTGAGTAATTAAATACCCACATGCATATTATTATTTAATGTGATGATAATTTTGAAAGACATCAGCTACAATTGTCTATGAGCAAAACAACAATGAATCTTACAAAACGAATTATTTTGTTTTATTTTTCAGCAAGTATCAGTGCAACAACATGTAGATCTGCGTGCGTGCTTCTTGGGATTATGCCTTATATACATTTAAAAATTTCAACATCGTTAACACAACTGACATATGGACAAAAATGTTCTTCAAATAAATATGCGATCAATCATATGACAGAAACACCAGTGGCAACTTCAATGTAATGTTAGAATTTCCAATTTTTCTATTAGCTCTGGTCAAAATCTTGCAAAATGTGTTATAATAATAATTATCAAGTAATTTTGGACTTTCATATATTGATCAAAATGATTCTTTCAGCAGCAAATTTCAAAGTTCGCGTAAAATCTTGTTCACAATTTAGTTCGACTGCAGTTGTTTTTAAGTTTTGTTTCGATATGTGTCTTTTTGTGAAATTCTTCTTGTTGTAATAATTTTTTAATATATTCTGATAATAAAAATGTAAATTTGTTAAATGTAGATTTAAATTTCAGCTCAAAACGAGCAATATTTATTTTACCAATCTTCATTTTCTTTAACTCGTCGTAAATTCACTCTTTTGCCTGTTAGGCAGTCGTCTTACGCCTGGGCCAACTTTTCAGCTTACTTTCTCTCCTCATCGGCACTTCTTGTAGATTAAATGGTTTATTTTGAATTTAATTTTTCAGAGAGGAATTCCCTATTTTGACCAAGTAGCTCCGGGAATCGAATTCGAATCAAAGACAAGCGCGCTATCCACTCCACTAGGTGTTGCCAACCACTCAGCTGCTGCAGACTTTCGTCTTTAAGTAACCAAAATGAATATTCTAAAACACATTCTGGAATTGTATTTCGCAATCCCCCATATACCCTACTCAGGATTAAAATCCCACACCCATGGGAACCAATGAAAACGCTGAGACATTTTGTGAATGTTTGGAAATATTTCATTTAAAAATTAAAACAGCAAACTTAATTTCAATTTGTATGTAATTATTTTAAACCATATACCTGCAGAACTACAAAATATTTTAACCACTGCCACCCGTACAGGTTTAAATGTTCAAGCAAGAAAAATGTATTTATGAAGCCAAATGTTCACAAACACAACGAAGCTCAGTTTTTGCTCGAAATCAAATAAGAAATAAGTCCATATGACTGATATTGTCATTTATTAAAAGGACGAAATGTAATATGATACAAAATGGGGGTTTGTAACAACATAAAATTAAGTGATAACACACACAAGCCCCATACAATAGAGCACGGTGTCACGAAACTGAGGGTCCGTGTGACAGAAAGTTCACCCTCAATATAGTTATAAAGGTTAGGATTAGTCTGACCAAAGTGGGTCAAAACCTAGGGCGAGGCTCACCTGTACAAAGTAATGGGAAGCGGACTCTCTGTCACGGGAGACTTTGTGGTACATGACACCGGTCACCTGTTACACTCTGTGTTCCGTTTATAAACCTATAACCCTGCCATTTCCTCCATAAACACAATTATTTACCATAATTGTCATTTTATGTATAGTCAAATGTTCACAAGCACAACGAAGCTCAGTTTAAGAAATAAGTCCATATGGCTAATATTGTCATTTATTAAAATGACGAAATGTAATATGATACTAAGTTACAAAATGGGGGATAGTAACAAAATAAAAGTTGGCAAGTACAATGGCCACAAGATGTGAGAAATTCACCCAACGTATAAGAATTTTAATTTATCAAACCCTTTACCCTCGGATCATCAGAAGAAAATGCAGTGAAAATATAAAGTCATATCAACAACAACAACAATGCAACTGCAACTACTACTTTTCTATTAGTGATACATATAATAACTCGTCGGACTGACGCTAATAATCTTAGCTCAAATGCACATTTTACGTACTTTCTTAAGTTGTTTTATTGTGAGGCATTGCTGAGTGATAACAGTTCAATTAGTTTGAAGACGCTTGACTTTGTATAATTAAATCTTTTGATGTATTTCTGCCTAATCATACTGTAGTAAGGCCATTTATGGATAAAATGAAATTTGTCTCCGACATCATTTAATGTGCATATATAATTTACAAGTTCTTATTTTTTATTTGTGTCTGTGCACCTTACAGTCTCTCATCTAGATAATGTGATGAAAGTCTAATTAAGTAATAAATTCCTTATTTTTCTGACATCAACTCGACATAGCGAGGAGAAATCCGAGGCTAGTAGGGAAGCCTGCCTCCCGAAAAAAATTGCACTGTTGAATCCAAAGCTACGAGCTTATTTGTAAGTGTTAGACCGTCGGCATAAATTAACGTTTGACTATGCCAAACTTCCCTACATGCAATTCAGAACAGATTTGTATTTCTTTTATTTTTTTTGTAAATCCATATATCTAAGATAATAAAATATTCTAAACTAGGACAAAATGAACAGCATTTCTGCACTTGCCCATTGAAAGAATGGAGGTTGCTGTTAGGAAAGAATTGCCAAATAATAAAGCACGATTTGGAAATAATAAAACTTTTCAGTCAGATCTATAATCTGTCCGCAAAAACTAGGCCCAGCTGACCAAAGTAAGGTAACAATATTCCTGATAGGGTTATCTGCGTGCATGTGACCAGGCAACCTTGGCACGTGACTATGTAACTTTTTTTGTGAAACAGTGGCCAGATTTAATATTAATCAGCTAAAATAAAACTTATACCATAAACGTCTGTCATATCTTACAATAAAACCCTTTACCCAGCACAATCTTCTCTCCAGACAAAGGCTATAGTGTACATTGTATTTCTTTTAACTAGCCACTGCGGCGACATTGGACTTTTTAGACATGCCCCTATATATTCAAAATTGCTTAGAATCCCATTCTCTACAATACTGTGCCAAATGTCATGCTTGCAGGTAAACGTGCACGATTCTTGCACCAAATTGCTGGACTATAATGCTCTCTGTGGTCAGAGAGCACGACGTGAAGAGATAAAGAAGTTTGAATTCAAATGGCATATGGCCAAAACTTTTCTATCTAGGATCATAGTTTCTACTTAACACTGTATCTGAATAGTTGCACTTTTTTATACAATTTACTAAATAAAAAATACACGGGGCGCATTTGTGTTCATATATACTGTACATTTTGTTTCTGACATCAAGATAAGAATATGTGTATATAATATTGTTGCGTCAATAATCGAATATAACATCAGCTACAATTCCTGTACTAAAGTAAAACAATGACCTGACTACTTATAACAGGTTCTATGCTGCAAACTATATACAGAACAATAAGTTATTTACATTACTTCAATCCGATTGTGTTTCACCAGTATTCATACTGTAATGTTCAGGTACATATAAGGGAGTTATGCATGTCGCACTCAATGTGGATGGACTGAAGTCAGCAGGAGATGGCAGCGAGATGATCTGTAGCAGAGAAGTGCGGGAAAGCGAGTATTTTCTGGTAATTTCACCCTTTCAAGCGTCATAGAAATCTCATCTTTTCTTGTTAGTTAGGATAAATGTACAAAAGACCCTGTCTGTGATAACTGGATTAGTTATTCTTTGCTGTGCCAAGAAATGTCTAGTGAATTCCAACTCACCATATCCAGAGTTAAATGTTGTTTCTCTCAGGATCAACTGTTGGAATTTTCAGCCTGCTAGTCAGGTCGAATAGCATCCCCTTTATACAGTCACTTCAGAGAATAAATTGTATCGTGTTTGTCAGGCAGTGGGCTGCAATGACGGACATCTTTATGCTCCTTGTTGATCTTAATAGCGTTGGACGATGGAATCTAGTGCGTCTGTGAAACAAGAAAATACAACTCTGACATGTGTCTAATAATCTGTTAATTATAATATGTCACTCATTGTACAGTTGACAGACTCTGGGCTCGGTCAAATACCCTACACTTTATTAAATACTAAAGCCCAAAATATCTTCTATCCTAGTTAAATATGGGCATATCTGCAACGTGCAACTTGCAAAACGATACGTAGTATGTAGCCCAAAGAAATTACACAAATAAGTATGGTTATAATATGCATACGTTTTATAGGTAGCAGTATTAATATCATGCTAGCCTTTTACTCATTTCTGACCAAATCACTAAAAGTACACACACACCAAAAAAGATTAAATTATATAGACAAATATGGAAATAATATTAACATATTCCCTGACCTGCAAAAATAATAAAATTATCATTTTTATTAAAATATTAACAATCATAAGGAAAATAACAGTTTACAAAGGTTGCACACCTTAGAAACATTCTGCTTGGCAATCTCTTCATCTATGGCATCCCCAAATTCATTAAAGGCACGCTCTGCCTCGTAATCTCTCTTTCCTTCCCTAAGCTTCCTCACTAGTGCTGATATTCTCAACTCTTTGTAAGGTTCACGCCACACGGCATCCCTGTCCTGTCGTGTTATCGCCTTCTTTTCCAACAACCTCTCCAATACCTCGCCGAGGGCATGTTCTGGAAGCTTCATAGCAAAGTCGGGTAACCTTATAATATTAAAGAAAATATTCAGCGAGCGATCAGAGATAGAAAGTTGAGTCGATTTCAAGTGCGAGTCGTCTTGGCCCATTCTTTCTTCTGAATAAAAACTATCCATATTATAATGTGTCAGTAATATTTCAATATCTTTGTATTCAGTATCAAGTCAGGCCAAGACAGTGGCTATCATAACTCATATTTGGTGAAAGTAGGTTTTTTAGCTGAATTACCAATGTAAGATTGGCTACTGTGTAACATGACCTCTCAAAGACCTACCTCAACATCCAAGCTGTTTCTGCATTTCCACTGTCATGGAGAGCACCACAAAACACGTAAAACGCAAGATCACTCTTCCTTTTAAGAAAACTTGAAAGTCTATCATCTGCATCTGGCTCAAGGATTGCTTTCTTTTCTTCCTCAGTCAATATACCAGCTTTACAGAGTCGACTTAGTATCTTGCGGAGACCATTGAATGTATTACGAATGACCTTCAAAGTATGGTTGGCATGTTTTTCAAGGGATGTACAGTGCAAAACTGTCATTTTCCCTAAAAAAAAGAATTTCATCTTCAGGTTTAATGGAAAGAAAAAATCGATAACCTAAATATTTCTTTGAAAACATATATAATGGCTTTTCATAATAACAAGCACACATGCACCAACTTCATGATATCAAAATAATAAATCCATTCAAGTTAATGAATAGATGCATCTGTTCAAACGCGATAAGCAACTAAATTATAGAATATGATATCACAACAGAATTTTATTTACCTTGTGTAACTGGATAGAAGAAGTCTGCTGAAGCCAAGGTGTTGGGGTTTTCCTCGGGACACGGATGATAAGGTGCTTGTTCTTCAAGGTAAACACTCAGTATGTTTTTAGGGGCATCAAAGAGAGTTGGTAGGTTTTTCTGCTCTCGTACACAGTGAGGACACACCACATATTCATCACGAGGAGAACCGGGGCATTCTCTCCCAACAAGATTTATAAGTTTCTGAAATATCAACAGGCAATGCTCCTTCAGTTTAACAGGATCTTCGCCGCGTATGGAAAGTCGAAGAATTCCATTGGATGACTTTTCACTGACTCTTCTTTCAAAGCACATTTGAAATTGGTTGTCGAGTTCAGCGTAAAAACCATCCTTCCAGTCTTGTCGTGCTGATTTGTAATGTCCTAAACAATCGTGAAGATGGACTGCTGCCATTTCGTAGAGAGCAGGAGGACAGGCGGTTGGAAAATGGATCTCTGTTGAAATCTGCAACTTCTGTCTGGCTGGAACAGCGGGCCATTTTGAGGAAATACATTCGGGTTGATCTTCCCTCAGAAGCCATGGAAAATGGTATCGGTTTTCATCATCACTTTTCACAACGTAACAAATTTCAAAGTTCTCTAATAATTCTAACATAGCGTCGAGACCACTTTTTCCAAAGTTAAATCGCCACCACAAACACTCCAACATGGTTTTACTGACGACACCTCTTCGCAGTACATCTTCCCTTGCACATTTAAATTTTCGTTCAGTGTATTTCTTGTTGAAAGGGTTGGTGCCATACGCAAGAACTAAATCAATATCGTGGCGGAGGACTGCTCTTAATATATCAATGAAAACCTCTTGTCTGTGGAATATGAAAGTCTTCAGCAACGGTTTGTCTTTGAACCAAAGAACAGCACCTGTGCCACGAAGAAAATTCAACACGTCTTCAGTTCTTTGAGCATCGTCATGCCCCCTCTCCGACATTTTGGCAAGGGAATCCAGGGTTAGGAAAGGGTCTTGTCTATTCTGTTTTGCTGTCTCTATATCCTCTACTTTCTGCAGCCATGTTTCAGGAAGTACTAGTTTATTTTCTTTGGCTCTTCGTACTAACTCCTCCTTAAGCTCGGCTATTCCGTATCCAGTTTTAGAACTAGTGACAAAAACTCTTTTGTCAACGCGTGGTGGTTTCTCAATTAGCTTTTTAATATGGTTCATCTTTTCGTTGTATGACTGTGGATACAACTCTTTGAATTCAGATTTCTTCTCTAATTCTTCCAAACTTGTTCTCAATTTGAATTCCTTGTCAACTTTGTAAGACATGACAGCACTCAAAACCCCTTTTTTTCTGGCTTCCAGCTCCTGCTCGTTGCTCATGCAGTCTGCATGCGAACCTACGAGTAACATCATTGAATCTGGTGCTCTATCGTAAACATTTTCTATCCAGTCTCCTACTGAGTGTTTATATCTTAAATTTACATCCTGGAGATCAAACACTATTAAAGTAAGAGCTTCTTTGGTTAAAAAGAAATTGTGTGCCACTCTATAAACGTCATGACCACCAAAATCGTTAATGTTGATGAAAACATCTTCCTTAGGCGACCACACAATCTGCTCCAAGACGTGTGTTCTGTCCGCTATAGCTGTTAAAAAAGGGCTTCCAGAGGTAAGGGTCTTCACCAAACTTGTCTTCCCTGCACAAGTTTCACCAAGGATATGCACCTGGAGTCTCGAGGAAGTTGTCGCTTTGGTACTGATAAGATCATGAAAGTATCTAAAAATTGCGTCCTTTCCTCTGTCTGCTATTTCAAATGGTGGCTGTGTCAATTGTTTTCTATCCAATTTTAATTCCTTCAGATTCTTAAGTTTAGTAATCTGATGAGGCAATGTAGTAATGGGGTTTTTCAAAAGGTCAAGTGTCTCTAATTGCACCAACTCACACATTGGCAACGTGACTTCTTCCAACCAGTTACAAGAAAGGTTCAATTTCTTCAACTTTTCAAGTTTTGATATCTGTTGTGGCATCATAGTGATGTGGTTTCCCCAAAGGTTAAGGACCTCCAGTCTCACCAACTCACACACAGGCAATGTGAGTTCTACGAGCTTGTTATCAGACATGTTTAATTCCTTCAGATTTTTAAGTTTTGATATTTCAGGTGGCACTGCAGTGATGTTGGTTCCCGAAAGGTTAAGTGTCTCCAGTGTCAACAGCTCACATACTTGCATCGGGAGTTCTACCAGCTTGTTATCAGACATGTTTAATTCCTTCAAGTTCTTGAGGTTTGATATCTCATGTGGCACTTCAGTGATGTTGGTTCCCGAAAGAATAAGTGTCTCCAGTGTCATTAAACCCCAAAGTGGCAACGGGAGTTTTTTCATCCTGTTGAAAGCCAGATTAAATTTCTTAAGATTCTTAAGTTTTGCTATTTGAGGTGGTACTGTAGTGATTAGATTTCCCAAAACGTTAAGTGCCTCCAGTCTCACCAACTCACACACTGGCAAGGGGATTTCTTTCAAAATATTATCAGATATGTTTAATTCCTTTAAATTTTGAAGTTTTGATATCTGAGGTGGTACTGCCTTGATGGAGTTTGCAGCAAGGTTAAGGGATTCTAGTCTCAACAACTTGCACACTGGTAACGCAATTTCTTTCAACTCGTTCCAAGACAGGTTCAATTTCTTCAGATTCTTAAGTTGTGATAACTGAGGTGGCAATGTAGAGATGGAGTTTGAAGACAAGTCAAGTATCTCCAGTTTTACCAATTTCCAAACTGGGAACAGTTCTTCTTCAAGCGCGTAATTAATCAGTTCCGTATCAGACAGATTCAATTCCTTCAGGTTCTCAAGTTGTGATATCTCAGGCGCCATTCTACGAATGGAATTTTTCGAGATGTCAAGGGACTCCAAATTTACGATCTCACACAATGGCAACGGCACACGATTAAAGTTGTTATTAGACAGATTTAATTTCTTCAGATTCTTGAGTTGTGATATCAGAGGAAAAATCGTAGTAGTGAAGACCTCTTGCAGAAGCTCAAATTCATCTAAAGTCATTTGAAACTTGTCATGAAACACGTCAGGCGGTCTTAGTGTCTTCCGCATCTGAAGTTGTAATGTATCAGGTGGCATTATAGAAAGGTCTATGTCGGGCGATTTTGTAGAAATACTGGAATTAGACATGTCTAACTCTTCCATGGTCTTGAGCCTACAGATTTTTTCTATTTGCTCTTTGTCCAATTGACTGTTATTGGAAACATCAAGTGTTCTGAGGCTTTTGCAACGTAATATGCTGTCTGGGATTCTGTCTCGTAGCCCTCTAAGGTTTAGGTCTGTCCATGTTTCGACCTGGTCTGTGCCTGGTCCTTGGTATTCAGGATCTTCATCCAGTTTTTTAAGGATATCTAGCTTGTCTATGTCTCCATCAAAGGCTTGGTGTGCATCATCCTCTTGGTCAAAGTTTTCATTCATTTCCGCCATCTTTACTGACACAACGGTACTGGTATGTAGACCGCCCCTTTATTTCTTTTACTGTTATTTACTAGTTCAAAAAAGGTACTTGTTTGTCAATTGTATCCCTGCACTAGGCTGACTGTTGGTTCCCATACCGTTTTGTAACAGCACACAAAGATAAAGATATGTCAACTGTACCTCTAATTGGCCTGAGTGCTGATCCCTTTACTCTTCTCTACTAGCACACCCATTCACATGTCTACTGCCTCTCTTCTTGGTCTGAGATAGGGTTCCTTTACTGTTCTGTGACAGCACACTACAGTAGCGGTTTGTTGACCGTGTCCCTGCTCAGAACTGAAAGTTCCTTCCTTTACCATTCTTTAATAGCACACAAAGGTACTGGCTTGAGTGTTGGTTTCTTAACTGTTCTCTGATAGCACACATCAATTGTATCCCTGCTCAGGACTGAAAGTTGCTTTCATACCCTCCTCTACTATCACACAAAGGTACCGGTATGTATCGGACTAAGATGAGTGTTGGCTCCTTTTCTGTTCTGTAACAACACTAAAGATGGTGGTATGTCCAATGCATTCCCGACATGAGTGTTGTTTCTTTACTGTCCTTTACTAGCACACAAAGGTACTGATTTGTCAACTGTATCCCTGCTCAGGACTGAAATTGCTTTCTATACTAAGAGGGTACTAAGCTGAGTGTTGGCTCATTGGCTGTTCTCTAACAGCACCCAAAGACAATGGTTTGTCTAATGTATTTCTGACTAGCGTGTGTTGGCTTTTTTACAGTTCTCTACTAGCACACATATGTAGACTGTCCCGCTGGCCTAATATGAGTGTGGGATCCTCCTATTTCTGCTTTCTAACAGCACCCAAAGCTGGTGGTATTTCCAATGCATTCCTGACCGACTTAAGTGTTGGTTTCTTTACTGTTCTCTACTAGCACACAAAGGTACCCGTATGTAGACTGCCCCACTGGACTAAGCTGAGTGTTGGCTCATTTTTTGTTCTCTAACAGCACCCAAAGACAGTTGTATGTCTAATGTATTCCTTACTAGCTTAAGTGTTGTTTTTTTACTGTTCTCTACTAGCACACAAAGGTACTGGTTTGTCAGTTGTATCCTACTCAGGACTGAAAGTTGCTATCAATACCCTTCTCACAGGTATCGGTATGTACACTCTCCTGTTGGACTAAGCTGAATGTTTTCTCCTCCTGTTCTCTAACAGCACCCAAAGATAGTGGTATGTCCAATGCATTCCTCACTAACTTCAGTATTGGTTTCTTTACTGCCCTCTTCTAGCACACAAAGGTACCGGTTTGTCAAATGTATCCCTGCTCAGGAATGAAACTTGCTTTCTATGCCTATTCTACTATCACACCAAGGTACGGGTATAAAGACTGTCCGCTGGATTTAGCTGAGTGTTGGCTCATTTCTGTTGTGTAACAGCACCCAAAGACAGTGGTATGCCCAAGGTATTGCTAACTGGCTTGAGTGTTAATTTCTTTTCTGTTCTCTACTACTGGCACTGGTACTGGTAGACCTCTTTGTCAACTGCACCTCTGACTAACCTGCATGCAAGCATGCACCTGTTTGTCTACAGCCTCTCTACGCTGGGCTGTGAGTGGGTTCCTTAACTGTTTTCAGACAACACCCAAAGGTACTGGTATTTTTTTGTATCGCTGCTATGGACAAGGTGTTGGTTTCTTAATTACTTTCTAGCTGCACGCAAAGGTTCTGGTAAGTCGCCCACTCCCTACACTGGGCTCAGAGTTGGGATTTTTCATGTTCTGTAACAGCTCACTAAGTTTCTCTTCTCTTCTCTACTATCACGCGCTTGAACTTGTATGTCAATTGTATCCCTGCACTGGAATGAGTGTTGGTTCCTTTACTGATCTGCTATAGCCCATAAAGGCACTGGTATGTTGACGGTCTCCCTGACTGGACTGAGTGTTGGTTTTTTTTATGTTCTCTACAAGCATAGATATGTACTGGTTGTCGAATGTATCCTTGGATAGAACTGTGTTGGTTCCTTCATTGTTCACTTCTACATGTAGCACACAGAGGTGCCATTATGTCAACTTTATCACTGCAAATGACTGAAAATTGGTTCTTGTACCGTTTTAGCACACAAAGGTACTGGTATATTGACTGTCTCTGTGACTGGCCTGGGTGTTAGTTTCTTTACTGTTCGTTGACCATCTCTCTGCAATGGGCTGACTGTTGGTTCCCTTTCTGTTTTCTATTAGCACACAGATATGCTGGGTTTTCGACTGTCACCTTGCACTGAATGTTTGTTCGTTTACTGTTCTCTTCTATAACTTTAGGGTACGTGTGTGGCTTCTGCTCTCTTGACTGGGCTGGGAATCCACGCTCTGTTCAAAGGCATCTTTAAAAGCAAACGCATACATGTACTATCAAATAACTTGAATGTAGTAGAAATGTATTTGTGACTGTCCATATGTGCATATATCAGATCTTTTTCTGTTTATAGCAACCATGAATTTGTAGTAGAATTTGACTCCACCTCAAAGAAATATGTATTTTTGATAATGTTAAAACATTCTGGGATGATAGAACCAAGACAAAATAAAAAAATAAGGCAGCAAAGGTGTCGAATGCACAGACATCAAACAGGAAAAAATGCACAAAAATGTTTTGTCAATTTAAAAACAATAACGAATAATTATATATGATAATTATCAAACACAAGCCGAAATATTTTCATAACGTTAGCTAACATATGAGTTACATCATCATATATGATCCACTTACTAAGTTGCTCATTTAATATTATAATTATAAAGTTAAACCGCATTTTCACCACCGAATTTTACCAAAGTTAGCAAGCACGCACGTAAAAAGTCTCCCGTGGTAGATAGTCTGCTTCCCATTCACTTGAACAGGTGAGCCTCGCCGATTTTGACCCACTTTGGTCAGACTAAACCTAACAATTATAATTTAAAAGGGGGCGGACTTTCTGTTACACAGACCTTCAATTTCGTTACACCGGTTTTGAACGCGGTAACGCCAATTGTAAATTACCATCTTACGTAAAGAGCCCGGTTGTACCAAAGCGGTATACAATTGCTCGGATACGACTGTCGTATACCACGACGCCTGGAGTCTCTGCGCCAGATTTTCTTCCCCATTTTACGCCCGTAGCACCACGACAAAAAATGCCCGTCTTAACTACACCCAGGTACGTGGATGGTATAATTGAGCAAATGGGGAGTTCGCATCTGCAGTCATAATAGGCGTAAAAATACACGGAATTAGAATTTGAGTGACGGAGATATTTAGAAGGTACTTTGTTCCATTTTGATTTAAGAAATAAAAAACATTAAACCTGCTTGCTTTGCTGCTGCCTGAGATATATCGCAACAAAACCAAGTTGGTGTCATAGTCCAACCTATGATTGTTAAAGAAATGTGTTCCGAATCAAATTACATTAGTACATGATAAAACATTATTTTACGCCCGTTAAAATGACTAAAACGCGTTGGGGGCAGAACATATTCCAATTAATGGATCTGAAAGACTTCATATTTGTATTTCAAGTTTTTGATCTCTAAAATAATGCCTAAATTACACCTTTACAGAAATAAAAAAATCTTAAAACATCTGAGCATAAATATTTTAAAAATGTGTCTCTATGTTTACTTATATCATTGATGTGAATAAAATAAAATGAAAAAAATAACAAAAGCAAAAGTTAGTGGAAAATTGTAAAGGGAAATACAGACATCAAACTGCTTAGACCCAAGACCCATCGACCTCTCGTATGATAAGATTGAACTCGAACAAATATATATGGAAGGATATATGAGGATGGGACAACCGTCTTTGAGTCCTGATGTTAATCCTACTTACTGAGCACCTGCGGCATAAATTGGAATGTGCATTGCAGAGGAGAACCAATTCCTAAACAATCTTGACCAATCCCGCCACGCTCTTTAGGATGAATGGGACCATATCCCACATAACAGAATTGTTGTCCATGTTGAAGGCTTGTCGCGCCGTCTACAGGAGATAATTGCAGTACGCGGTAGACGCACACGCTGTTAGGCACGTGACTTTTAACGAGCACACCCTAATGCAAATTGTGTGTGAATTTGGTGACATTTGATGGCGTCTTTTCAATTTTATAGACATTTCTTTACATCTGTAGAAGTCACAGTGAAACAGTCGATTTGAGGGGGTACCTCTTATAAATTGTACTAAATGGTATAAAATATGTATATTTTCACCACTATTTTGTATTTTTAAACCCATTAATCACGTTAGACATGGTATCCGTAATAAAAAGCACTATTTCTAACAATTTATAGCAGTGAGGTGATCGTTTGTAAATAAAAATGCATGGAAATAGGGGTGGGACAACCTTTTTGACCAATGTTGTATATTTCTGAGGCCATAAACAATTGATGAATTGCCGCGAGAGAGTTAATTTTAAAAAGATTGGCATGGTTCATTTCTACAGTTTCTTTCCGGCCATCCGCATATGATTTCCCTTGTTATATACTTAATTGCCAAAATGCCAATATGTAAAAAAAAAAAAGAGATAACATAACTGAAATGAGTTTGTCTTAATTTTCAACACTTTTTTTACAAAATACGAAATAATCAATTTACTACCATTTTTACATGAACAACTAACAAAATTGGTGATATGGGAAAAATATCAAAAGAACAATTTTCTCCATGTCCAGTTTTCTCCATGTTGAGATTATGAACATAGTGAAAGATTGAATCTAAAAAACTGTACTGATATAAGACAATTTTACATTTTTGAGACTTTATTACTCAATACGTGATACTAGATTTACCATGATTTTTATACAATCAACTAGCAAAATTGTTAAGATGCAGAATATGTCGAAAGAACACTTTTACTTTTCAATTTAGTTCTCCCTGTATTTCATTAAGATTGATCACTCCTGTGAGTTTCAAGACAATAAGCCTAACGGATTTCCTATCGTGCTATCAGTATTGCATATACATGTATGCAGAAAAA